GGAGTTTTGAAAAAGGTATTTATATCATTGTAAATATTAAAAAAAAAAAGAATATTTATCTAATAGCCTATTTCCACCAAAGTCTTAACTGCAGTTAAGTGCTCATATTAGTTCCAAGGGTTAAAATCCGGTGATGGGCAAGGTTTATTTCTACATTTTTTAGTTTTTCCCTTTCGTTTGCTTGTACTTAATATGAGCAATTACCTCCTTCGAGTTATAATCTTTTTTCTTCCAATAGGTATACACTGCAGTTAAGACTTGGTGGAAATGAATTATAAGTTATTGTAAGTTACATTTTAAGGTATGAAAAAAAGGGAAAAATATATATATATTTTTTTAACTACAATAGTGAACGCTAGGCCATGGATATTTACACTTCATCATAAAAGAACAACGACGTTTCATTATTATAAGTACAGTGGGAAGAAAAAATGAGTGAATGGTGATTTCTGGTAAATATTTGCAAGGTTTTTAAGTAAACCTTTTTTGTTATTTTTTATAAAAATATGGTTTATGGTTTGAAAACACTGCAAATCTATTTTATCCTATTGAAAATGGAACTAGAAAATGTCTTTTACCTAAACTCTGGGAAAGTTTCCACTGTAGCTTCAATTTAAAAGCGTGTATAAAAATTCAAAAATAATAATAGATAAAAGTTTAGCGCTTACACGTGTTCTTGCCGCGCGTCTTGACGCTGTAATGAATATTGGGAAGCCGCAGGTTTCATAAGAAAATTTGTCATACACTTGAAGGTTTTCTATTGTCTGCCGAGGAGCGGTAGATATTAGAAAATTAGAAAAAAAGTAACTTTTTTTATGATGCTGGAGTGACGTCGAATTATCGAACATCCTAGAACAAACGCAACGAATTTGCGTGCGACTGTGTCGTTGGCTTAGCGATGATTCGCAACAGTGTCAAGCATACTGCTTAGTAACTTAGTAATTTTTAAGCAAAAAACAAAACTGACTTTTATTCTCATATAAAAATGTAATAGTACCGTTAATTTCTTCATGGTCAAAGGATCGGGTCTAAGTCAAATTAGTATGGAACCACCCTTGAGGCAACACCTTTCCGATAGTAAAAGAATTATCGAAATCGGCTGAAGTGGTTCAAAGTTATGCGGTAACATACATAAAGAAAAATAAAAAATATTATTCCGACGAATTGATAGCCTTCTAATTTTTTTGAAGTCGGCTACGCGCACAGAAAAACGTTATGTCGAAGGAGGCTTTCTTTCAATTGGGGGCAGAAACACTTCCCCGTAAAAAACACGATTACCACAGAAGTTGAAATGGAGTCGAATTAGGCGATGGGAATCGCTTACCCTTTCGCTTCAAGTGGTTGTAGCTAAGGGCGCAGAGATGCTTGTTACTATTTGTTAGCTTTCGGGAATGCTCGGGTTCGAATGCTTTTAAAAACAAAATATAAATTTTCATTACGAAAAAGTTTAAAAACAAAATCGATAGAAAAATCGATAATAATACCGACAGCAAAATCGATAACAAATATCGATAACGAAATTGATAAAAATATTGATCATTATATCGATAAGTTCCGAAAATATCGATAGCGAAATAAATAGGAATATCGATAAAAATTTCTGTAACAAAATTGATAAAAATATCGATAAAAAAACCAACAAAATATCGATTATTATATCTCTACAACTACCTTTATTTTAATCTTTCTTCTTCTATCTTCATCTATATTGTTATCGGTATCCGCATCCTCATCTTTTTCTTTATATTTATCTTTGTTTTTATTTTTATTTTTATCATATTCTTCATATACATATCCCCGTTCACCTTTTCCTTATATAAGTGTTTAAATTTACCTTGGTCTTTATTTTTGCTTTTATCTTTACCCAACTTTGTTTTTGTTTTTATTTTTACCTTCGCCTTTATCATTTTCTTTATCTATGTACGTACTAACCTTTACTTTTATTCTTGGATTGCTCTGTTTCTAAGTGTTGTTTCACTTCAAAAAGTTTTCGCGTATTATGCATACATGTGTTCATACATACTTATATGTATGTACATATACATATAATATGTACGTATAGACATACATAGATTACTAAAAAATATAAACAGATCGACATTAACTGCAATCAACTTATGTACGTATTTATGTATTTACATATGCTATCTGTTTATCAAAAGCCGAAATATGTACTTACGCACACATACATACTTTTTGTCTCCTTCCCTTACTTCCAACACACGCGCGTGTTTGCAAAACGGTGACGAATTGATTTTGTATGGGATATCATTTATGCCCATATATTTACATACTTAGAAGGTTTCAACCAATACTTACCATATACCAAACGAAAGGAAAACTCCTGAATTTTTGATTAATGAAAACAAAAACAAAATCATTCGAGCGGTTTTCGAGCATTTTGGTAATAAAAAAAATTTGCAAACTTTTTGCTTTAAAATGCTCAATATTTGTTGAATTTATATAAAATCTGTACACGATAATATTTCTATTGCTCCAAAGAATCTATATCCCGAAAATTTAAGTTATATCAGCAAATCATAAGCTGCTGGAGCACTTAAAAGGCTCAGAATTTACTCTAAAATAAGGCAATGTTTACCGTTGTTTTTACGATAAAAACCGAATTGGTTACTTACAAAAATCAATCTGTTGATAGGTTTTGAATTTTATCTTTGAAATGCCGCGCCTTTTTTTTAAATCACTTTATTAGTTCTCGTGCAATAAGCCTTTTCGTGAAGCTCTAAAAATGACAGCCACAACATTTCAGCACAGCCATATCCATATCGAAACGTAGGACGTATTCTACGTCAAAAATATTTATATTTTTTCTGAGTTAAGGGAAAATGAAAGCGAAAGTTTTGTAAAATTGCAAAAATAGCCCGGAACGAGTTCCGCTATACCTTGTCCAATTCGATTTGTATAAAAATTGGTTTCGGCGATGTGCCATCATTCAGTATTATTTTTCGTTCATGATTGTTTAGTTTGTTTTAAAATTTTTTGCTTTATGTCAAACGTTGTATTGTGTACGGAGCATTGTATCAATTTTATATCAACAAGCGCACGTTTGGCTAAAGCGCTCTAAAATGTTTAATAACTCGGAAAGGCACCTATTTTTGTTATTTATTTCTATGTAAAGGACCTGTTATTTCGATTGAGATGACTTAAAACAATACTAAAGATGACCATCATTAAGAAAAATTACAAATAAATTTTTGTTTCTAATTTTCAGCGCAAAAATGGGAAATGTTTCGCAAACTTATACCATCATACCGAATAGTCCACACAGAAATCGATAGAAACCATAGTTTTCGAATAATTTTTCTGTCTGCTCCTACCGAGTCGAAAAGTAGCTTGTTTTGCACCGCTCAGGGTGCCTGTGAGATTTGACGTGAATCGCCCCATATGTAAACTTATGTCGGTGCTATTCAGAGGAATTTTTTGTTTGACAAACAAGATGGCAGTTTGCGACGCATATGTATGTTCTTGCTTATACTTTCAGTAAATGCAGCTCGAAGAATAGAAGTTAATTTTTAAATAAATACTTACGAATTATTTTCGAAATAAAGAGGGCGCAGAATTATGGTTTTCAAAAATGTTTGTGCCAGCACTTTGGTGGTTTATTCATATTTATTTGCTGCGCCTATAGTGTGCGCGTTAACCAACAGAAAGTATCGCTTGCGCCTAGATAACTAATAACTAAGTACAGATATGTATATCCAAATGAACTTAGAACCATAGCTCTAGCGATGCTAGTGGTAAGGCATGGAACGATCGTGGTGTTCAATATATATTTTTTATTTTTTTCTGAATCCAAAGTTATCTTTTAAAGCCCATAAGCGCTCACAATACTTTCCGGGTCCGTACGTTTGTAATACACATGTTCGTATGTACGTACGTACGTATGTATGTATGTATACATATAATACAATATTACAATATATGAACAATGATCTAAGTACATAGGTGAATGTTTTACAGTTACTATAATTGATATATATATATATGTATGTATTAGTTAATAGCTAGGAGAAAATTACAATATTCTTTGTTTTAAAATTACATGTATTTAAGTATATTAATTACTGCTTTTAAGTACATACAATACGCTTAATTACTTCTCTCATGCACCGCTATAAATAAACTAAGGAATGGAATGCACACACAAGTACTTTAGCTTAGAGAAACAGTTTTGGAGCAGATGGCTTAAGTTTTTCTGGTTTACTTTTTTAATAGAATTCTAGTTTTTATTTTCTTATTAAACTTTTACAATTATGAAATTTTTTTAGCTTAAGGTATATTTAAATGTAGTATATTAAATACATTTTTTAAGGATGCTTTAAGGACTTTTTGTGTTCACTAATATCTCGGCTTAGTTCACAGCTTTACGCTCGGTTAGTAACTTTTGCAAAGTGTTTACGTATTAAACTAGTTAAAATAAAATTAAGATTTTGTTTATGAATGAAAGTATTTTGTTTGTTGCGGCGAAACAAAAAAAAAAAAATAAACTAATTTAAAAAAAAAACTTAAAAACTCGTACAATAACAAATAACAATTACTCACTGGTTCAGTAGGTACACATACAAGCTTAACACATAAAATTTAACTAAAAGTAAAAAGGAATTAAATGTTGATATGCTTTGATTTCACCCCCAAATAGGCGATTGCATACAAAAATACGCTGCTTACATATGGCCTAGTATGCATGTATGTATGTATGTCTAAAATTTTTTCTATGAACAGCTTAAACTTTATAAGGCTTGCGTAAGGCTTAGAATTTTTTTTTGTTTTAAATTTCTTTAAGCTGAAAAATGTTTTTTCTAATATTTATGTTTCAATTGAGGCATTGGCGGCGGTGTTGGTTTTAATTGATTGCGTTTATCATTTCAATTAAATATATTTTATGTAATATTTTATTTTTTTTTAATATTTAGTTATGCTAGTTTAAGCAAATTTTTATTATTAATAACAACTAAAGTCCTTTGGATTTGTTTGTGCTCGTTCTTCTTTTCTGTTTTTTGTTTTGTTTTGTGTTTTAAATTTATTCACTTTTTTATATCTTCTTCCACTAGCTGCATTTTGTGCGCTTAATTGCTAATAGTTGCTTGTTGCTAGGTTTTCTTTTGTGCTGCTTGCTGTCTTTTCACTTGCTTGCTTTGCTATTTTCCCATCAGCTCAATTTTGACTTCCTTATTATGTTTTTTTTTTTGCTTTCAATTTTCTTTAGGCATACTTCTACTTGTTTTTGGGCAAATGTCGTTTCATGTGCAATGCCAAGTGATCGGAGCGCGCAAAACTTCGCTCGCAGACAACGCATTTGAAGGGTTTGGCACCGGTGTGTTTGCGATAGTGACGCGTCAGTTCATCGGAGCGCGCAAAACGCCATTCACACTCGGGCCATTGGCAGGTGTAGGGTTTCTCGCCTGAAATAAGAATAATGAAAGAAGTTATTAATTAGTGTTAAGAATAAATTTTGTATAATAAGAAAAACATATAAGGAATTTGGTTTATAGTACAGATTCAAGTTCAAGATTTTAATTTAGTTTTAAAACAGGTGGCAACTCTTTTTAAAAACCAAAGAAAGTTCTACATGATCATACTAAAGATGTCTAAACATCCTTGCGTTTGACAATTTAAGCTTGTGTTTATTTAATTAAATTTGAATTTGCAAACGCGTGGGAACCCTCTTCAAAACATTTTCATACTAGAACCTTATTTAACTATATACATATTCAAAGTGCCATTTTCCTTAACTCAAGTAAAATTAAATTTTTTAAATAGGTGGCAACCCCATACTTGTGGCCAGAAATTAAGTATTTTCAAAACCATTTCCGTTTATACCCATATTGTAATAATTAATTTAATTTAATTGACTCTAAATTTTAAACAGGTGGCTACGCTTGTAAAGGACTAAATTAATATTCTTAATTTTAAAGCTAAAGGTTTCTTAAAAATATTTCGTTTGACACCCATATGTTAATTTTTCAGATAGCTTGCGAATAATTAATTTAAATTTCAATTTCCAGACGGGTGACAACCCTTTTAAAAATATTTTCAAACTACAACGTTGTAAGATTCCTGACATCAATTTGTAATATAATTTTCAAACAAATAATTCCTTTAATTTAAGTTGAGTTTGATTTTTTAAACAGGTGGCAGCTCTTCTACATGTGTATGGAATTGATTTTATACTTATATCTCCAATACAAAGTTCCGATACTCTATCACAAATATTTCCTGAGATAAATATGCAAGATGAAAAATTCCTTTTGTATGGTAGGTGCTACGCCCCCTTGTCTAATCGAGATTAAATCTACCCTTTACTTTAAGCTGGCCTAAATGACCTCAGTGTACAAAATTTCCTGATGATCGGTTGTATAGTTGAAGCGCGAAGGCATAACAAACAAACAAACTCACTTTGGGATTTTTAAATTAAGTAAAGTAATAAAGTAAGGATAACAGATTTTGTGTCAACTTTTTCATTTGTGTTAAAGCTACCAATGAAGAAAATCGTTGTTAAATATTTAAAATAGCTTTGAGTGGTCAAATGAAAACGTGCGAGGATTTTTTTCGAACGAAATATGAACAAGAAAGAATCAAAATTGATAAGATATGTTGAAAACAACAAAATACCAAATAAATATTCCACCAAAATATTAATTCACTATTATGTAAATACTTAATGATTTCGTGAGGAATGCACTTTTTAGTGTAGTCCACATTTGTAAGCAATTTTCAAAGAATGTTTCGAGAATGCTCAAAGGCTCATAATCAGCAAATACCAGCGTACATAAATCACGCGGTGCACCAAATTTCCATTAAACCAAAAAGTTCTAAAGCTGCCGACAGAATTTGCAATGCCGCATTTCCATAAATTTTTTGGTAACGAAAAACAAAACAAAAAAAAAATGTTACAAAATATGACTGCTACAAATTGTCAATCTACAACTGCCGCCTCCACCGAAAACGCGCAGTGACACTTAGCATTCGAGTGTGTCGCAAAGTACATGCATGTACATATGAAACCACATTAAGTATGTATGTATGTATGGGGCGTTCCATACCAAAACGGACGGAGTTCACACTTCATGTGTTTGATTTATTTCAAATTTTTAGAGTTGATGCATAAACATAAGTAATAAATAAATATGAAATTTGTGCTTGATTAATACATTTTTAAAAACTTTACACCACAAAAAAATAAAAACAAAACGATTTAAAAGTTTTCCAAATATCTCGAGAACGGGCCAAGGCAAAAATACGAAAAAAAATCACACGTACACTTATCAAAATTCTCTGTGAGAAGAAATATGTAAACATTTTTTTTTCTTGAAAAATTTTTCAAACATAATTTATACAAAAAAATAGTTTTTGAAAATATGCCATCTCAAAAAAAAAATTTAAAAAAATCACAATGTTCTCTGAGTATTGCCTACTATTTAAGTATAGTATTACGGGGGTGCGCTCTACAATAATTTGAGTTATGATTTTTTTTTTACACCGAAGCTGAGTAAAATGAGTACATTAGAAATTTACAAATTTTTTTATTTTTTTTTTTGGAATTTTTTTGAGTATGCAGTTTTGTAGCCTATAAATTCTTCTTCTTCTTCTTATTTGGCGCTGTAACCGCCTAAGCGATTTTGGCCGAGTCCAAAACAGCACGCCAGTCATTTCTCTTCTGTGTTAACTGACGCCAATTGAAAATGCCAAGTGAAGCCAAGTCCTTCTCCACCTGGTCTTTCCAACGCAGAGGAGGCCTTCCTCTTCCTCTGTTCCCAGCATCGCGGCCCGCGTTGAATATTTTCAGAGCAGGAGCGTTTCTGTCCATCCGAACGACATGGGCAAGCCAGCGGAGCCGCTGAATTTTAATTCGCTGCACTATGTCTATATCGTTGTAAAGCTCATACAGCTCATCGTTAGATCGTCTGCGATATTCGCCATCACCAACGCGTAAAGGTCCGTAAATCTTTCGCAGAATCTTTCTCTCGAAAACTCCAAGAGCCGCCTCATCAGATGCTTTCATTGTCCATGCTTCCGCGCCATACACCAGCACAGGCATGATGAGTGACTTATAGAGTGTGATCTTTGTACGACGAGAGAGGACTTTACTTCTCAATTGCCTACTCAGCCCAAAGTAGCACTTGTTGGCAAGAGTGATTCTCCGTTGGATTTCAAGGCTGACATTATTATTGGTGTTAATGCTGGTTCCCAAATAAACGAAGTCGTCTACTTTTTCAAACTTGTAACTGTCAACAGTGACGTGGGTGCCAAGACGCGTATGCTCTGACTGTTTGTGTGCTGACAGGAGATACTTCGTTTTGTCCTCGTTCACCACCAGACCCATTCGCTTTGCTTCTCTATCCAATCCCGCGAAGGCAGAACAGACGCAGCCCTTGTTTTTACCGATAATATCGATGTCGTCGGCATACGCCAGCAATTGTACGCTCTTATAAAGTATTGTGCCTGAGCGGTTCAGTTCTGCGGCTCTTATTATCTTCTCCAACATAAGATTAAAGAAATCACACGAAAGGGGGTCCCCTTGTCTGAAACCTCGTTTGGTATCAAACGGCTCGGAGAGGTCCTTCCCTATTCTGACCTATAAATTCTAGTATAACAAAATTCAAGTTTTAAGCGATTGCAAAAAAAATCTAAAAAAAATTTAAAAAATTTGTAAATTTGTAATGTACTCATTTTACTCAGCTTCGGTGTAAAAAAAAATTCATGACTCAAATTATTGTAGAGTGCACCCTATAATACTACACTTAAATATTACGCAATACTCAGAGCTGACATTGTGATTTTTTTCAATTTTTTTTAAGATGGCATATTTCCAAAAACTAACTTTTTGTATCAAAAAATTTGTATGTGAAAAATTTGCCAAGAAATTTTTTTGTTAAATATTTCTTCTCATAGAAAATTTTTTCCTTGCCCCGTTCTCGAGATATTAGGAAACTATTAAAACGTTTTGTTTTTGTTTCCGTACTGTAAAATTTTTAAAAATGTATTATTCAAACTCAAATTTCAGTGAACTCCGTCCGTTTTGGTTTGGAACGCCCCGTATACATGTGTGTCTGATGACATATTTATGTATGTACGTGGCCGTGTAAACTACGCGTGCCACAAATGTCCCTTTCCATATGAAATTGCGCTTAAGAATGCACGTACTTATACATATGTACATATGTAGTAAGTGTAGATATATTTGATTGCGAACACATATGCAACTTCTTGATTGCCAGCGATTTCGTTTGGCATCGCTGCTGATGGTGATGGCGATGGCGATGACGATGACGATGACGATGACGAAGGCGATGGCCGCATTGGCAGCAGTCACACCGACTGACAACAATTCTTGCCAGAAATTTATGATTTTTCAGTTATTTACCTGCGTACAATTGTCATAATTTAACATTGTTCATGCAACAGCACTAAACAATACGAAAAGCAACAACAACAACTGCACTTCGCATTGCGTTACATTGCGGCAATGGGGAATTCAAACATTCAAACATTCGAGCATTCAAGCATTCGAGCACACTCTGCAGCACATTTTTCATTCTTCTCGCCTTTGATGGAGAACTGCCACAAATTACTGGTTGCATGCGAAATGCGTTCGTGGCTGATATGACAGAAATGCCGCCGCCGTTCATTGCGCCTGCATTTATGAGCTGACAAAACAAATGACTGAACAATAACCAACAATTGTTGTTGACTGTAAGAAAATTATTAGAATTGCAGTAGTAGTTACTGTCGAAAATTGCCATTACCAGGCGGCCGAACAGTTAGACAGCTTGTCAGTCAAATGGCACAATCAGCTATTTATGAGGCGAGCGAAAGATGAATGACAAGCGGGTGAGGGAAGGAAAGCGAAGCGAAGCGTTGAAGTGGAGAGGGCAGCACAAGTCTGCCATCAACACTTGCACTGGCGTATACAAAAACAGACACCAAAAAAATAAAAAAAAATAAAAAAATTAAAAAATATGAGAATGCAAAAAAATAAAAGATCATATTTCGTTTTGTTTTTGCGTGCATTCCAGATTGCAAGAATGCTTCACGACACGATTCGCCGTTTAATTATTTGTTTGAAATTCTTGAAATTGCCAACAAATTGAAATGCTAATCACCGACAAGCAATTACGCAAAGAGTTCCACAAGCGTTGCTTGTCTGCGTCTTCAGTGATCTTGCAGACTCGCTGGTGCTTCCGCAAGCACAGTGTAGCATTTTTATAAAAGTAAGTACATAATTAGAATTCTAAAAGTATGAAATGGAGAGCAATTCCAAAGTTGATCAGATTCAGAAATATTTACATGGCAGCGATTGCGATTCTGATTTTATATTTAGAATAAGGAATAAGCCGCATACCACAAGGTATCTCTCTGACTGCTTTGTTTTCAGTATGGAGGAAAATTCGGTTTAGTAAAA